AGAGCCTGTTGGGTTCATTATTTAATCGAGCATTGCAAGCTGAAGAGACCAGGGCCCGTAGAAGCGAAACTAAAACATAGCATGGCTGGGCTCATAAGACCATGCCGAAAGGGGTCGGGTGGGCCCACAAATGAACCTCCAACCTTACGACCCGCACGTGACAAGTGTATTCTGAAGGCTCTACGAGCTGCTCCGCTCTGAAGCTTATCGTTTAGCATGCTTTGGAAAGAGCAGTCGCAGGAGCGAAGAACTCACCTTGCCGTCCGTGGAGCGCGACGAACTGCTGCCTATCACTGCCATCATGATTCGATCCGCCGTCAAACGATTTCCTAAAGCAACTCGCCAGACCTGGGACGGACTTCATCCCAATTACTTCTCTCTCCGATGCATTCGGGTGCTAGAACACGTATGCAATTGCTGGTAACGATCGAAGAGGTAAGGACTTTCCCCACCGCCATCCGTAACATCATAGCGACTTGAATGAAAAGCATGAAAACGACAAGTCCGAGGGCCCGTCGTACCGATGAATGGGGTTCCCCTCATCGCTCTGGAAAGCGTGGTCCAAGGGGGGCTTGAAAATGTGAGAGGGCTAACAATCATGCTCCCTGGGCCCATCAATACAGTGGTGGCGTGCTGCAGACTCTCTATGCTCAAACCCTTCGGGCCGAACTTGCAAGCTACCATAACCAATGTATGTATGTGGGAGGAACTCTCTGGAACCTTCCGAACTCTCAAGAAAACGCGAACCGCGTCAAATGGAGAACCAGGGCCTCGGAGTCGGGATTCTCGGAGACCCTGGTCTGCCTCAGGATGAACCAATATGGGGGACCTGGAGCGGTGGCCACTCGTGCTCCGGCTATTTCCAGCGGCTGCTCTCGTTAAAGGTTTCCTGCTGGGTTCTCTTTCGCTACCTTGAACGGCCAGGTGTGCACGCTGCCCCCTATGGGCTCCTGGATCCCTAAAAAACCAGAAGTGGACCCCATGATCTTCATAGATGACTTCTTTGCTGACACGCATCAATACCAGCGTAAATATGTTGGTGTCGGACCTGGCACGCTCCACCGACTGCCGCCTTGACTAGATAGAGGAGGACCTCTATTGTCCACTTGCGCAAGGCCGCAACACTCGGATCGACGGTTAACCCCCAGCTCGCGACAATAACCCCCTGGGGGTAAGAAAGTTAGGGGTCCGGGGGGGATGCTAGACGTTTTTCCCGGGGGTCTCAGCAGAATGGTGAAGATGATGACAATGATGATGACCAAGATGATCCGAAACATCCATGAGCAAAATTGGGAATCCATACGATTTCTTACGAAAACCATCGGATGTTGTACGGGAATCGATCGGAATCCTTGGGGAAACCATAGGATTCCCAAGTACAGGCACACGCGTCTTTAAACAAGTCATACGATCCCTCAGGACATCCATCGGATGTCTTCGCCCACCTGCACATGTCCATCGGAAATCTATGAGAAATATGCGGGATCCCAGGACCAGTGTTCCAAAACACTTGCGATTCTGGACTTGTTTTTTTTTTTGTAAAACTCAATTATTGTTTTAACTCATTCTCAATAGCGCAGGTGTAGTCCATGGCGGCTCATTGGCGAGAAAAAAAAGGGGATCGAAAACGTTCGAGCTAGGCGCGAAAGGAGGAGGAGGAAGAAGATTCCCTTGGAAATCAATTGGATGTTTTCGGAAAGCCACAGGAATCCTTGGAAAAACAAAGGATGCTTACAGACAGCCATGAACGTCCTTACACATCCCATCGACTTCCTTAGAACATCCATAGGATTCCGAAGGACACACATCGGGAACCCTTAGGAACTACATCGGATGTCTTAGGACATCCATCGAAATCATTGGGAAATCCAGCGGAAATCCATCGACTTCCCTAGGACAGGATTCCCGAGGAAATTAATCGGAAGCCTTAGGACTCCTTGCTACCCAACATAAGAAGAGAACAACTTCGATTCGCAATTCCCCTCGCGATTATAAAGTCCGGCCTTGCAGCCTCTCTTCCCTGACCAAGCCTGCATTGGCCCGGGATAATCAACTCTCAGTGGTGAAGGGGAGGGACCCAAAGATTATCCAGGGCTGCGGGTGATTTTGCAACAGAAGCTCGCCAAGGCGCTTGGCAAATGCAGCGGCCCCTTGGGCGAGAAGCAACAGACGTCTGCACCAAATATAGGAGTGGATTTTACCATCGGCGGTTGTATTTCCAGGAAAGCTCGGGGGGGCCCCAGGAAGAGAGTTCTCACCATGAAAAGGAGACTCCATCGTGTGGTGCAGCTTAGGCGTGCAGGAGCCAACGTGCGTACGATTTACCAGACGGGTTTGAAAGCAACAGCCTCTTACGGCTCACGACCCTAGAGATGAGAGAGGCCAGGAGGCTCCATACAGATCGCGGAGCCCCGCTGTGTTACAAGGTCTCGTTCGATTGCGTCGGCTGTCTTGGGGGGCCCGACCTGGAGCGCGCCCGCGGGGTCAGCAGTACATTGGGCAACTCTGATCTGGAGGATTGCGGACCAGCCTCATACTTGTGGGTTCTCGATCCTAGAACAGCCTCCCGCGGTACCGGCATCTACGACGAGGGCCTCTCGGGACACCAATCTTCAGCCTTGGGACTTTGGGATGGACGATGCCCGACACCCTCCGGTTCCAAGATCAGGACGGCCAGACCTACTCCCTCATCACTACGTCCCCTGCCCTCACCCAGAAGATGCTTCCGGAACAATGGCAGCACCAGTTGCGCAGACAGGCGGCCAACAAGCTGATTATGGAGGACCAGCTGGACACCTCGAGCTGCAGCGAACGCTGCATAGCGGGTCATACCAACTCCAATGAGGATGTCTTTACTTTCGTACGCGTACCGGTGTATCTAAACAAATGAAAAATGATCGCCGCGGAATACGAGGGCCCCAAGGATCCCCTCCCGCACAGGCTCATCGAATGCCCAGGGGCAGAGACAACTGGAATTCGAAGACCTGGGAATGCTGTAAGGCATGAACACGGTCCCGCTCGTGTTTTGATTTCAGACAGCCCTGAACCTACTGCATTGAGGCCGCCAGGTTTAGGATGAAATGCTGCAGCGTACTGGTCCAGACACGGCCAACCCACACAAGTAGCTATTCACTGCGAATTTCTCCATGACGGCAATGTTTTGAAACCAGGACATCGTGTTCATGATGCGCCTGGTCCGTGGTTAAAACTGACAGCGAAGGCGACTATGTTACCTGCTTGTCGGGCCCCGTCGGGGCAGCCTTGCCCCCGACATCGCCCGCTGCCGAACACCGAGGTGCTCTAGCTGCAACATCGGCGGATTCCAAAGGCATCCTGGCCTGGGCGGATTCCTAGGGTCGCAAAGGCCTGGGCGGATTCCAAAGGCATCCTGGTATCCTTTCAGTCTACCAGATACCCAGCATATCTAGGAAGGCGATGCATCCTGGAGTCTCAGCCTTAACCAAGTTCCAAAACAGTTTCAAGATCCTGGCCGTGGCCAGGGTAGAGGCCCACCAGGACCTCGGTGCCCTCGAGGAGGGATCCAGCGACTGGTCAGTCGCCAATGGCAACGACTCGGCGGACAGGATGGCAATGGCTGCAGCGGCCTTAGTTACAGCACCGCCCCCGCTCGAGGTGCATCTGCACAATTCCAGGGCGGAGTGCCTCGAGCGATTCCCGAGCTAGGCCGCACAAAAGCCCTGAAGTTGTGGGCCCCGCTGCGTCTCCTTCTTCTCCCTCTCCAACTCCTCCTCCTGCCCCTCCTCCTGCCCCTCCTCCTCCTCCTCCTCCTCCTCCTCCTTCCTGCTCCTCCTCCTCCTCCTCCTCCTCCTCCTCCTCCTCCTCCTCCTCCTCCCTCCTCCTCCTCCTCCTCCTCCTCCTCCTCCTCCTCCTCCTCCTCCTCCTCCTCCTCCTCCTCCTCCTCCTCTCTCCTTCCTCCTCTTCCCCCCCCCCTCCTCCTCCTCCTCCTCCTCCTCCTCCTCCTCCTCCTCCTCCTCCTCCTTGCGGCAGCACGCTGCCCCTCGGGCTCGGCGCCCCAAGGCGGCAGCACGCTGCCCCATCGAGAGGCGCCGGCGCGAGCAGCGCCCCCGCCCTGCCGTCAGGGACGCGGGGACCGCGGGAGATTGGGTGGGCCCCCGCCCAGGCCAACGGCCCAGAGCGAGGCAAGAGAGGTTCGAATGCCACCTGTCGGGGAGACGTAAGACCGGGGTACGGGGGACTCGGGTTGGCCCGACGAGGTCGTCAAAAAAATGACGAGGCCGAGCCTGCATTTTGACGAGGCCTCCCGCTGCAGACATCCCACGAAACTCCTCCTCGTCAAAATCCGAGTCGCGGTCGTCAAAAAACGATGGCGAACCCGAGTCCCGGCAAACCCGGGTCTTACGCTCCCCCAAAAAAGAGGTTCGAATGCCTCTTGTGGAGCACCAGTGGGCGTGGCTGAATCAGAACTAGATTTGTTGCCCAGCTTGCCACACGCGGGCCAAGACCGACACCGCTAACAGGACGCGATCCAAAGACGCGTGCCCAGATCATTCGGTTGCCTTATCCTGTCGCATCCATGCTCCAACGCAAGTTATTATTTGTGATTATCTTGAAGTCGAGTCTTGCATCGTTGTGTGCCGTGCGTGTGGTCAGCACCCTGAAATCATCATGAAAGGTCTCACGGGCGAATGTAAGAATCGCTGGCAGAGCAGTTTCTGAGGGAGCGCGGAATCTTGCGGCATCAGGCAGGCACCCCGAAAGCTGCTGGAAGGCCGCAAGCCACCTGTCCCGCCCGATGTCCGCTGCAAGGCTCCTCAACGAAGAAGCGCGTGATGCTCCTAACCGGGCCATCGGAGCATGAAATATCAGGTTGGGTCGGCTCGCCAAACCCTCTGTCTCCTCCGTTTAACACGTGCTAAACTGTTTCCTTCTCCTCCTCCACGGACAACGGCGACCACCACCTCCACCTCTACGGCGAGGAGGAGGACGGCGAAACAGCAAGGTGTGGCGAGGGAAGCGACGCCTGGCTCCCCATCTTGTCGACCTGGGCCGCGTATGCATCCTTCAGCTCCTCGAACAGCTTCTGGGCCCGCCCGCTCACGGCAGCAGGAGACAAAATCGTGAACTGTATCGAGATCGGCATCATTGACGTCATCATCACCATCATCATCAGCAGCAGCAGCACCAGCATCAACATCATAACCATCATCATCAACAACAACATCACCATCATCAACAACAACATCAACATCCTCAGCATCATCAACATCATCACCATCACCAACATCAACAACAACAACATCATCATCAACAACAACATCATCATCACCGGCATCAACAACCACATCACCATCATCGAAAACAATATCAACGACATCACCAGAGTTAACAGTATCATCATCAGCATCATCATCAATAACATTATCAACAATATCATCGCCACCGACATCATCATCATCATCATCATCATCATCATCATCATGGTCACCATCGGCATCACCGGCAGCGCCAGCATCATCATCGTCGTCGTCGACAGTGCCATCCTCCTCATCATCGTCGTCATCATCAGCATCATAGCCATCTTGATCGTCGGCATAATCATGATGATCAGTACCAGAAGCATCATAACGATCAACCTCACTATCGTCCAAGTCGTAGTCGTCGTCAGCATCGTCTTCATCAACACCATGCCCATTATCAATATCATCATCATCACCATACCCATCATCAGCATCAGCATCACCATTGTAATCATCAGTACCATCCCCATCATCATCGTCGTCATCGGCATCGGCATTGTTGTCACCACCAGCATCATCACTGTACAAACCAGTCACAATCAGCATCATCAGCATCACCAGCACCGTCGTCAGCCCATCACATCCACCATCATCACACCCACCATCATCATCATCATCATCACCATCATCATCATCATCATCATCATCATCAGCATCATCATCACCAACATCACCATCATCTTCATCATCATCGTCATCATCACCAGCATCATTATGTTCGTCGTCGTCATCATGCCCATCACCATCATCATCATCAGCATCACCATCACCATCATCATCATCATCATCACCATCGTCATCGTCTTCATGACAATGATCATCAGTCTTATCAGCATCACCATCATCATCAGCATCATCAGTATCGTCAGCACCATCAACATCATCATGATCATGATCATCATCATCATCATCATCATCATCATCATCATCATCATCATCACCGTCATCATCGTCATCGTCATCGTCGTCTCAATCGTCATCGTCCTCGTCCTCGTCATCGGCGTCGTGGCTGTTGTTGTTGTCGTCGTCGTCGTAATCCTCATCATCGACATCATCGGGCAACTTCTTGGCTCGCCCACTGGCAGTGGACAAATCCCGCCAGCCCTCTGGGCGACAGGCGGTCAAACGTGATCTTCCCATTCGGGGAGGGGTTTAACACTGTTCCTTACTACTATACACCCTTTTCCCAAGCGACTGGGGGCCAACCGGGCACCATGCCGACACCATGCCCACCCGCCCCCCACCATCCGTCAAAAACAATACAAACCGCACTCTGCCTCCACATTTGGAGCATGCGCGGCCAACCCGATGCGGCCCCCCCCACCATGTTCGTGAAGCTGGCGAGCACTCTGTATTATTGTTGACACGGACGGCGGGGGTGTCAGCATATTCCCTGCTGTGCGCAGGGCTACGATCCCTGGGAAAAAACAATACAACATGCACCTCGCGGCTAAATCTGCATCATCCGCGGCCATCTCGCAATTACTGTCAAGTGGTTTTTGATAGGGACGGCGGGGGTGGTGGCGCGTTGCCTGCTGTGCGCAGGCCCAGCAGACACAATGATGGGCATCGGTATTCGATAAGGATGGCGGGGGCCGACATGTTTCCAGATGTGTGCTGTCACGTGCGCAGGCGCACCTGACGCACTCTGCACGTGCCCCGAACGCGGCGCACCTGGCGTGGCTCGGCACACCTGGCGAGCTCGGAGCACGTGGCGCATCTGGCGCACCAGGCGTGCCTGGCACGCTCGGGCCCCAGGGATACCTGGCGCGCGTGGCGCCCCTGGCACGGGTGGCGCACCTCGCCCAAACGTCGCGCACCTGGGGTCGGCGTTGGTTCCCAGTAGCTGCCTATCCAAAGACGAACGCTGAACATGCTCAGGCTCGGATGTTGCTGATGTGCAGGGAGGGCGGGTGGGAGTGAGCTAGACGGCTTGCGGGCGGGTGGGTGTCTGGACCTCTTCCCCCACCCCCTCCCCTGGACCTGGTTGACCAGGGGGGTCGCGAGCGGTCAGAGGGCTGGTCTTTTTTTGGCCCAAGATGGCTCCAAGAGGGCCTCAGAGAGCCCAAGATGGCCTCCAAGATCGCTCAAGATAGCCCAACATGGCTCACGATAGCTAACAACATGCCTCCAAGAGGCCCCAAGAAGGCCACAAGACGGATTCAAGTGCTTTGGGAGACCCTTCAGGACCTCCCCGAGAAGCCAACATGCTTCAAAGACCAAAAGAAAACCATTGATATTGGCCTTCTCGCCGTTTCACTTCCAATGCGCTTTTGAGGCCTCAAGATGGCCCCAAGATGGCCCAAGAGAGCCCCAAGAAAGGCCCAATAGGCCCACAAGACGGCCCCAGGAGCGCCCAAGACCGCCCCCTGAGGGCCCCAAGAGCGCCCAAGAGGCTAATTAAGTGATGGCCCAATAGGGGGGGCCAAACGTTATGACGCCCCTCTTTTCATCGACACCCTCCACGACAGCCGCACGAGGCCCTCCGAAGCTGCCAGGAGAGCCCCAAACCAGCCCCAAGAGGGCCCCAAGAGGGGCCCCAAGAGATCCCTAAAACGCCCCAAAAGAGCCCCAAGAGAACCCCAAAACCCCCCAAAGAGCCCCAAGAGGGCCCCAAGATACCCCAAAGGAGCCCAAGGAGGATCCCAAGACGCCCCCCAAAAGCCCCATAGCTCCAAGAAGGCCTCCGTTGCTCCTAGATAGCCTCCAACATGGCTCAGCACAATCCTACCCCTCCTCTCTTTGACCGCTCTGTTCCACTACGAGCGTCTCTTCCACTTCCCGTCAGCTCTCGTGGGAAGGGTTCCTGAATGGGCTGGTGGGGACTTGCGAAGCGTAAACAATTCTTAGGAACGCCCTCCGTGTTGAGTGTTTGCGTTCGGACGCGGGCGGGCGTTGCGCGCGTCCCGAGGCAAACGTTTCACGCAAGCCTGTCGCAACGGGTGGCACGCGTGCCCCGGCTCCGAAACGTGGGAGCAGCGAGGGAAAGGATGACTTGAGACAACGAATAACAGGCTCCTCCGAGGACAAGGCGATAGCCAAGATTTGGTCGGGCATGTCCTCCTACAGGCGGATTTTGAAGGAGAAATAAGAAACAGTCAAACAAGTAAAACATAATTCAAAACATCATCCCCATACCATTCTTGAATATTCCTCCTGTAGAACGACATACCCGATTGAAGGGCATGAGGGAGGATCTGTAAGGGAGGCTGGGAAGGGGCCAAGGCTAGAAAGCGCAAGGTTCGCCAGGGACTGGTTTTCCTTCCAAACCGCCGAAGCCCTCCCGAAAGCCTCTCGAAAACCATCCGGGCAGGGTTCTAGGAAGCTCCTCGGAAGGGTTTCTGGAGGTTTTGGAAGGGTGTCCGTCGTTTCGGGGGGGAACCAGTCCCCAGCAGACCCTGGGCATTCTGAAGCCAGGGGGAGGGGAGTGGGCGACGAACTACGAGCCACCACGAGCCACGAGCAACGAGGGCTCTGCCGTGGACATGGCGACGGCCAGGGGTGAGTATCGTTTGACCGATCCCCTTCCCCAGCGGCGTAGCCTGGGCCCCACTGGCCAATGTACCCCACAAGATGGGAATATAGTTCGTTCCCTTCGGGCTTCGAGGGGTGTATCCCCAGCTGGGGATGGGGATCGGTTGAACGATACCGAGGGGAGTGGACGACGAACAACGAAGTACTACGAGCCGCGAGCAACAAGAGCTCCGCCGAGGACACGGCGACGGCCAGGGGGGGAGGACCCGCCAGGGAAAGCCGGGGGAGGCGCCAGGGGTCAGCATCGTTCAACCGACCCCCAGCCTCATCCTCATCCCCTTCGAGACCCCCCTCGAATTACCACCCCAATTGGGGACACACCCCAGGAAACCCGAAGGGAACGGCCTATGTCCGCATCTAGGGGGGTAAATCGGCCAGTGGGGGGGTCGGACAAACGATGCTCAAGGGGGAGGGGGGCCGACGACGAAGTACACGAGCCACCACGAGCCGCGAAAGTACAGCAGGAGCTCGATCACAAGAGACCTTCCACAAGAAGCCCAACACCGAGACCCCAGGACGTTCCTTTATGTTTGGTGCGGGGACGTCACGCTTCCCATGACAAAACCGTCGAAACTCAAGAAACCCAAGCGCGCCCTCGAGGCAAGCAAGGTAATTCCTGGCATGGGGTTCCACTGTAAAGGGCTCCGAGCTCTGGAACGTGTCTGTTCAATGTAGAGTCGGACCTAGGCCAGAAGAACATTCTCCGTCGGCCAAAACAAACAGAACGTCCAAAGGTACCCTTCCCAGCATGCACAAGAACAACCAACAAACACGAAGAGCACCAGGGTACCCTCCCCGAACCGACCTCGATCTTACACCTCGGTCTGGCTGTAGCTAATGTTGTCCTCTGGGCCCGAGCGTCTTGTTCCGCGACTCGGGCAGGATGGCAGGGTGGGCCCAAGGCCGAGCAGATAACTTCTGGGAAGGCCCGCGCGCACGAGGAGACTGAGGAGAGTAACCTCCACCAGCGCGCGCGCGCAGCCTGAAGCGCGGCCGCCCCTCCTGCGCCCTCCCGAACAACATCTATTCAGCTCCCCGACGCTTGGAGCTCAACATTCGGCGGTGCACCCGGGGGGGTGAAGCGAGAGGGGGCGGAACTTCTCTGACGCCTCGGACGGGCTCCGGCCGTCTGACGAGTTTCCGAGCCTTCCCCTCAGACGCGGAGAACTTGTCAGAAGGCGCGAGGGCTTCTGAGAAGCCCCGCCGCTTCTGAGAAGGCCTGCTCCTTCGTTTTCCCCCAGGCGTGGCGCCACACTGTGCATTCACCAATTCTTCAACCCCCTACTGTGCTTGCCTCGAGCGGACCGATACGCCAATAATCATAATTCCGACCGAGGCCGTGTGCGTACGCCCCCCTCCCCGAGGCGCCACCCTTCAAGCGCGGTGGCGCACGTGCCTGGCACCGCAACGGAGGTAGCGTTGATGGGATGAATCCCTTCTAGCCTTCTCGCTCCCGCATACACGCACTCACTCTCTCTCTCTCCACGTATCGGTCTCTTTCTTTCTCTCTCTCTCATGTTTTGCTTCTCTCTTTCTCTCTCTTTTTTTCTCTCTCTATCTCTCATTATCTTTCCCTCTCTCACTCTCTCTCTCTCTCTCTCCCTCTCTTGTTATCTAAAAATATGTTGATCTCTCTCTCTCTCTCTATCTCTCTCGCGTTCCCTTTCCCTAGGCTGCTGCACGAGACTTGGTCTAAGATGGTTTCCGGGCCCGTCCTAGAGACAGCCTGGGCGCCTATTGTGCTGTATTGGAGGCCCTGCAGGCCGCCCAAAGATGCCACACACTATGAACACCATGTGTTTCACACTCTAATCTTTCATTCAAAAATACTCGACGGCCGAAGATGCCCCTAATACCGCTCCAATGTGGCCCCCGAGACGGCCCACAAAATCTCCAGTCTGGCCCCTAAGAGCATTGCGAACGATGGCATCCGAGATCGCACGGAGGCCCTTCGGAGGCCCTCGAAAAGCCCGCAAGGGGCCCCCAGGAGACCGCAAATAGCTTCCGAGCAAGGCTCCAGTAGGCTCCAATAGGCGCCCTCAGATACATTTAGAAGCCTCTGGTCCACAACCTGGGCACGGTGGCGGGTTGGGTCGAAGGCCACGACGTAGATACCCAAAAATCGAAGCTGAACGACCCGAATGATTTGATCATGAACCTGTCCGGCGCACAATTCTGCCTCATTACCCGCAAGATAATTCACACCTCCACCCACTCAAAACTTTGGACGCCCGAAACGGGTACAGAAAAAGTGGGTACAATGCCCAACAGCAACTGTTGTCCCAAACCAACGGCGGCCGCTGTTGGGCAGGCGGCCTTCTGTCTCGAATGGACACAGGCCGCGGCGGCGAGGACAGCGAGTCCTGATCAGAATAAGCAGGAACTGCTGTTGGGCATGGAGGAGGAGGAGGAGGAGGAGGAGGAGGAGGAAGATGAGGAGGAGGCGGAGGAGGAGGAGAAGGAGCTGGAGGAGGAGGAGAGGAGGAGGGAGGAAGAGGAGGAGGAGGGAGGAAGAGGAGGAGGAGGAGGAGGAGGAGGAGGAGGAGGAGGAGGAGGAGGAGGAGAGGAGGAGGAGGGGAGGAGGAGGAGGAGGAGGAGGAGGAGGAGGAGGAGGGGGAGGAGGAGGAGGAGGAGGAGGATGAGGAGGAGGAGGAAGGAGGAGGGAGGGAGGAGGGAGGAGGAGGAGGGAGGAGGAGGGGGAGGAGGAGGGGGAGGAGGAGGAGGAGGGAGGAGGGAGGAGGGAGGGGCCACGACCCCAAAATCCTGTGGGGCCGGGGCTCCACAGGCCGCGCCCCTGCCCCAGGTACCTCATTCAGCGCAGCTGCGGAGGGGCATCCACGGAGTGCACGTGCTGATTGTTGCTGCTGTGTGTTGCTCCTCCCCGCTGGCTCCCGAGGCTTACTGCTGCATGCTGCGTGCGGCTGATCGCCACTGCTCCTGATGCTTGCTGCTACATGCTGCCTGATGCTGATCGCTGCTACCCTGCGCACGCTTCTTTTGCGTGTGTTGCTTGCCGACGGTTGCCCCCCCCCCCCCCTTCTCACCAGGGCGGACGAGGGCGGGCGGGAAGGGGGGGATGCCTCATTTTCGGCAGCTTCGGGTGTCTCCCGAGGCCCTCTTGGACACCGTTCTCGGGGGGCCCTGAGGCGGGCCTGGCTCACGCCCGTGTTGGGGAGCGAACCCCTTGTATGTCACGCGCTGGTTCCCTTAGACGAGGACAAGAAGGACACAATCGAGTCGACACACAATGCAGGTATTCCACCACTTCCAATGGCTGCATTGCATATTGAGATTAAATTCAGCGTTTCCGTGTTTGTGTCAATTTTTCCCCCCAACCCCTCGCCTCCCGCCTCTCCAGGCAACGTGCCCGTAGCCGCCAATCCTCCCGCCAGGAAGGCCCTGGCTGCCCTACACCCCGCTCCTCACAGTTTGACTCGTTGGCGGTCTTCATCTTCATTATCGCCTGGGAAGGAAAGAGACAGGGAGACTGAGAGACAGAAAAAGAGAGCTTTGCAAGCGAATCCAGAACTAGGTTCGCAGATCTCTGGTCAGGCCGACCGCCTTTTTGTCAGGCCGCGCCGAGACGCGTAGCAGCACCGCATCATCATCATCATCATCATCATCATCATCATCATCATCATCATCATCATCATCATCATCATCATCATCATCAGCATCATCATCATCATCAACATCAGCATCAGCATCAGCATCAGCATCATCAGCAGCAGCAGAGGCATCATCATCATCATCATCATCATCATCATCATCAACATCATCAGTATCATAATCATCATCAACAGCATCAGCATCATCAACCTCATCATCATCGTGATCATCCTCATCGTCATCATCGGCAACATGATCAGTATCATCATCAGCATCAGCATCATCATCACCACCATCATCAGCAGCACCAACATCATCATCATCATCATCATCATCATCATCATCATCATCATCATCATCATCACTGTCATCACTGTCATCACCACCACGATCACCATCACAATCAGCGTAATCATCGTCAGCATCAGCGTCGTCATCAGCATCATCGTCGTCGTCATCGTCATCATCGTCATCAGCATCATCATCATCACCATCATTTTCGTCGTCATCATCATACTCATCATCAGCAGCAGCATCATCAGCATCAGCATCAGCATCAGCATCAGCATCAGCATCATCAGTACCACCACCAGCACCAGCACCAGCATCATCAGCATCATCACCCTCACCAGCACCAGCACCAGCACCAGCACCATCAGCATCAGCATCATCAGCACCACCACCAGCACCAACATCAGCATCATCGTCATCGTCATCATCCGAATCATCCGCCTCCTCATCAACATCATCACCACCATCACCATCATCATCACCAGCATCACCATCATCGTCGCCATCGTCATCATCACCATCATCACACTTCTTATCAGAATCCTCCTCCTCATCACCACCACCAGCACCATCACCATCACCATCATCATCACGATCATCATCATCATCAGCATCATCATCGTCATCGTCATCATCATCATCATGATGATGATCATCATCATCATCATCATGATCATGATCATGATCATGATCATCATCATCATCATCATCATCACCATCATCATCATCATCATCATCATCATCATCATCATCTAGGTTTGCATTAAACATGCCCAGGGCGTTCATTTATTTTCGTTTCCAGCCCGGCGTCTTGGAACACATGTTTTAGGCGTTTCAGGTATCACAGATACCTTAAACACACTACGCAATGCAGCTTTGTTTTCAGCGGTTTCAGACATTGCTTTAGCGCGTTCAGCCTAAAGGTGCCAAAACAACAGCCAAAAAACGCCAAAGCAATTCCCCTGAACACGCCCCCAAAACGCAGCGTGTTTTTAGCGTTCTCAGCATGTCAGGAGCCCAACATAGAAAACGCATCCAAAAAGCGCCCTGGGCGTTTCTAAGGTTCTAAGGCGAACCAAGAACGTCAGCAGCATCATCATCGGACTCGGACTCGGCTCCGCGCGTGCGGCGCCATGAGGGCGCGGCGGAGGGGGCGCCGAGTCGCCTGCATAGAAGAAATCAGCAAAACAGCATCTACATGTGACAATTATGCACGAGAAGCGGTTAACAACCCGTTTAGAATGCCACGGGATGTCCCGTCCGCGTGGCCGACACGAGTTCGGCCCTCGGGGAAAATAAAACGCGGAAGCCGTGTACAAATAAGGTCTCGGCCGCGAGGGCGGCGGAGTAATACACATACTTACAACTGGGCCTGCGACATCGTAAATGGAATCGGTCACCGTTGGGGGAATTAATGAAATTGTCCCCCCGGGGCCGGCCCTGCCTAAGTACCCACTATGGTACCCCACTTCATGGGGTAGATCTTCAGGGCAAGTGAAGAACCACTGGAATTCCCGAACAAGCATTTACACGATCTACACTCAAACCGAGTTCACTTACGCACCCAAGCGGCGGATAGTCTCCGCACGGGGGTCTGCGAGTCGCCGCTCGTGCAAGTTGCTGCAGGCATGCACGCGCAACATTTCAGAGGGGGAACCGTCGACGATGCCGTCCAACCAGCCAGCACCCACACATTGATACCATGATTCCGTGCGAGAGGGAAGAGGCAGGGAGACAGGAAGAGGAAGAGGGGAAGTCATGGACGGGCGGCAGCGTCACTGCTGAAGGTATGCGCCTTGGAGGTCGTCCCACGCCGGTGTGGTAGCGACACAGTGCCAGTCAGCATGTCTACAGCAACCCATGACCAATTTACGCAAATCCTCTGTCCATCGGGTTTTCTGTCGCCCGGGTATGCCCTCTCTTGCTTCAATTGTCCAACGTTGAATCTAATATACCCATGGTTCTAAAACGGTATCTACCTCTTCGATCGCGTGGGCTTTGTCGCAAATTCTATCGGCGTCGTGCTCGCTGGAGTCGTTGCCGGCGTCGCTGTTGGATGCGCTGGCGTCGCCAGTTTGACGTCCAACGGGGTTGTCTTGGCGTTGTTGCCAGCGTCGCTGTAACCCAAATAGCATGCGCAACATGTGTCGTTGCGTTCCCTGTAAACGGTTTTCCAAGCATGTCGTCAGCGTGAAACCTTCGCACCCATATAACACGTTTGGCGTCACGCACACAAGAAACAAGCGCAGTCTGTCATTCATAATCAATCCTTCGCTTTTGAATGAGAGGAACTTTTTCCAAACAATATTAACCCTGCTACCCAGTTCGGTACCGTGGGGGTCCGAAAACTGCACCTTCCGCACAATATATATATATATATATATATATATGCAATGCTTGAAAGGCGGTGACCGCTGTCAGCGAGAGTGCCCATGACCGCTGTGCAGAACCTGGGTCTGTCAGGATGCAGAGCGAGTCCGATGCCGCTTGCTTCCGCGCTGAGATCCGCAAGCCTACTCCAGATTTCGTGATAGAAGGGACAGCCATTCCAAGACAAGCCATTCCAACTCCCCAGGCCCTCCAAGATAGCCTGGAAGAGACCCCCCCCCGAAATGAGACCCCCCTCCCTTTCTTACGAAATCTGGAGTAGCCTCCTGGCTCGGAGCTCCCTCGCCAGGGGGCGGACGTCGTGTGGTGGGGCTTGGTGCGCAAGGGGGGTATGCGGGCGTTGGGCGCCCCGAGCACGGCTGTTCTCGGGGTGTGCGGAGGAGGAGGAGGAGGAGGAGGAGGAGGAGGAGGAGGAGGAGGAGGAGGAGGAGGAGGAGGAGGAGGAGGAGGGGGAGGAGGGGGATGAGAAAGGGGGCAGAATAAGGAGGCGGAGGAGGAGGAGGAGGAGGAGGAGGGGCAGACATCGACGTGCAGGGGCTTCTGGCGCTGGGATGGGAGGCGCTGCTCGAGCTGGCGCTCGCGACCAGGTCCCCGCCCGCGCGCCCAGGGGGGCGCTTGTATGCCGGCGCCGCGCGGAGGCGGCGGGGATCGCGGCGGCCAGGAGACCTGGAGAAACGCGCTCCGCAACTCGCAGAGTCACCACTCGCAAATGGCCCGGATCCGCCGCGGGGGATTTACGATGCGTTCCACAAAGGAAGCCACGCTTTTGTTCGGACGCTTGCGAGTAGGCACTTTGGAACGCGCTCGGTGAAGACTGGCGTCGGGCTTCTGGGCGCGGCTCTTGAACGAGGAGAGCCTCGCCAACTCCGCCCTCTTCTTGGAGAAGGCCGCGGCAGGAGGGGTCGAGGAGACGGAAGGGGACGAGGGCGCCAGGGCGGGCGAGATGCGGGCACATCTCCACGAGGCAGAGATCCGCAAGTGACTCGGGGACCAGGCAGTGGAGCCTCCGCCGCAGGGCACATGCCTCGACTTCCTGGAGACCCTCACAAGCGAAACCCAGATTCCCCAGGCGATCGCGCGCAGAAGGGCGGCTCCGCGATTCAGATCGGCTTGCAGCGCGGTCAAAACCTCCGCGGGAGGATCGGGTCGGGCGAAAGGGGGGGATAGCAAAGGGGGGGGTTTGAGAATCAGCTCACGTAGCTGATTTTCCCGGCGCCTCCCGGCGCCGGAGGCGGCTATGTATCGAGGAATGGGCCCCTCGGTGAGGCCGAAACCAGCTGCATGCAGCAGATTTCGTAACCCCCCCTTTCCCAATCCCCCCCTTTCGCCTGGCCCGAGAGGAACGATCGGCGTCTTCTTCGGGCGCCGGTGGCCATGCACGACCCTCGCGAGACGTGGACTAGCCGGCCCCGCACGGCCATTCGGCGCACTCGTGGCCCGGAGCGAGCCCCGCCGAGCAAACCTGCCCCAGGCCAAGAGGGAGGGCAGGAGGAGGAGGAGGAGGAGGAGGAGGAGGAGGAGGAGGAGGAGGAGGCGGAGGAGGAGGAGGAGGAGGAGGAGGAGGAGGAGGAGGAGGAGGAGGAGGAGGAGGAGGAGGAGGCCCCTGCCCCAGGCCACGCTGGCCCAGATCATGGCAGAGAGGAGCGCCTAGAAGATGGGTTGCTCGGCCGAGCGCCCCAGGCCCTCGGCGGCCTGGGAGCCGTTGGAGCGGCTGCTGGCGCACCCCCGCGGCAGCAGGCAGCCGCGCCTCGAACTGCGCGGCGCAGCGGGAGGGCTTCACCTCGAGCCCAGGGCACATCGCCGCGACGTCTGACGGCATCGTCCGGGCCCTCAGCCTGCGGCGCAGCGCGGATCACGCGCACGACGCGGTCCAGTCGGCGGCGAGCGAGGGGGGAAGCGAGAAGGGGCGGGCCTTCTCAGAAGTCTCGGAAGTCCCCCGGCCGTCTGAGAAGTTCTCTGAGCCTTCCCCGAAGACAGAAAAAACCTCTCAGAAGGCGCGGGGGCTTCTGAGAAGCCCTGCCGCCTTCTGAGAACTGAGAAGGCCTTCTCCTTCTCGTTTCCCCCCTCGCTCGCCGCCGATCCAGGGCAAGGCCGTCGCAAAGAGGAGCGATGCCCAATCGCATGAGACGGCCGAGCCCGTGGCGCAGACGGTGCTGAAGCGGGCCAGGTCGGCTC